AAAAAACCTACAAAAAATTCATTTAAATATAGTTAACATAAATAGCTGCTTAATTCGTTAAGAAATGCATATATCAAAACAACATTTGGAACCGTATTATGCAACAAATTTGTGCTCGCATCTTAAACTTGGGGACGGATGCTACATAAAAGATATTTTCAAATAGAGGACCTATTGTATTTCAAGCATAATTTTCTTCAATGAGTTGTAGCACACTGATAATTATGACACTATATATGCTTGTAAATATTTTGCAATTTTTGATTTACATATAAACCTTTTAAGAGACTTGTATTTGTGACAATTATACAAATTTCTTCGGTAATTGAAATTATTCTACATTATTCTCTAAGCAAATACAGATGTATCCTGTATGCAGTTAGCATTAGCGACAATCAACTGTAATAAGAAAAATATAAATTTAGTAAGAGAATGAATAAATAAAGGGTATATAAATCTAAAACTGCCAAAATTTAACTTCTTCTAACATATCTCCTTTTTCATATACAAAAGAAGTACTTATACTTCATAGTTATTTCGCTCCACTTAATTATAGTCATACCCCAGTTATATAAGCTACATCCAGCTGAAACGTGTAAAACTTTTATACAATACTAATATTCTACTTTATATATTACATTAGATGTCCTTCAAAATGTAATGCAAATTATTAATTGAATCATAAGTTAAAAGAAAGGTGTGAAGATAGTATGACCAGATATTGATAAAGATGCTAACATTATGAAGAAAATAGTGTTAAAAACTATAAAAGTATTATAATTTAAATACCCAATGTGTATTAACATTTTGTTAAGTTAAAGAACTTTCTGCTTACAAAAAGTTTATATTCCAATGTTATTAAAAAGTTTTTTAACAAAAGAAAAAATTTCTTACTGAAAGCTCATTTGAAATAAAATGAAAGCATTACTTTTTGAAAGATATACTTATTCACAATGACATTAATGGTGACAGTGTTAGTTTCATTGGCCCTGGCACTTCAATCCTATATTCACTGCAATCTGTTTGTTTCAGACTAGAATTTTTAAGATATATGCAGTAACTAAGTTACAGATTACAATAGGAATTTATTGTTTTCTTTAACTCATTTGTGATATTGGGTATTTACATATTTGCATGTAACTAACATATAATTTGAAATAATGTGATTATAATTGGAGGAAACTTACTATTTTTTTATTAGATAAAATGTTAAGTATTTCTGTAAAAAATTAAATATTGTTTTACTTGTATTTATTTCATACATCTTTCATCACTCCATTTTATACTTAAAATTTTGTTTAGTTAAAAAAATAAAAAGATTTGAAATATTCAACAGCTTCGTAATTACATAGAACAAAGTTATCAATATGTAAACTTTTAAAATGAGCTTCAACGTATTTCGACGCTCTATTTTATTTAGGATAAAAATTATTTGCTGCCTCATTTAATTCTATTACAATATGTGATATAATATATCACAAGTATTTTATCATGTAGCACCATTTTAAGTTGTTACATTAAACCTATTTCGTTTTAAGTAGGTACACTTAACAATTTGTTAAATTGTTACTTCTGAATACTAAATATTGTTAATGCTTTTATAATAAAAATATAAAATTATATAAAGGAAAATTAAATATATTGGCACTTGAATTACTTCATAAACTTAAGAATAATTAGTATTATCTTGTAAATGCGAGGCAGCTTTTTAACAAAAAAACATAAATAATGTAGTCTTCATTGATTTATCAATTTAAGTACAAATACACTTTTATAGTTTCGAGATATAGTTTAAGAAGATATATCGGAATAATATATCAACTTTTTAGAAACGTTGGAAATACTTTAAAATAATTATCCTTATATGCATATATTAGGTATCCATTAATAAAATATTTCGTTTTACTTCAATGAAGTAATGATACTGATAGTTTTTTTTTTATAGATATAGAAAAATTTGAAGAATTTATGTTACGTATCTCTTTAAAATTTGTAAATGATACTGAAAAGGGTATGACACTTGCAAATAAACTAAATAATACTTTTTTAAGTAAAAGATGATATGGAATATTTTGTTTATAGTCAAATTAAATAAATACTGTTGCCACGTTAGCAAAATAAATGGAAAATACTACTACTAAAATGAATAAATACAATAACGCACAATATTTATCACCTATTATTCCATTTATAATGGAAAGTGAAACCAAAATAGTAGTATTCTGCATAAAAAAACATACTGTAGAATTTTTTTGCTGATTTTCTTTAATCCGGGCTATTCGTTGAAGATACCAGACGTAGAAACTGTTCCAAAATCTGTCCCATTATTTCTTCTAGATTTACTTGTTTTTCTTCTAACGCGGTAACCTATTTTAATAATATTTTTACTAGTAATTGTAAATTTATAAATACTTATAAAATAAAATATGACAAATTAATAACACATTTTAACATATTGAACTTATTTATACGGAGAATGTTGTAGTAAAATAATTTTAAGCTACTTTTATCAATGTGCTCACCCTTTCTAATAGTTGATTGTAAACTGTATAGGGCACATAAGCTGGAGGTCCAGAAGTAGCTGAGGTCTGTTCAGGATGTGAAGATGTGTCAGACCTCTGACTTAGATTTTTACACTTTTGCTTACTTTCTTCACATTCTGCCTCTAATTTCTTAATGCAGTCTATGATATTTGTTGTATTTAACACCCTGTATTAAAATTGAAGAAAATATAAGTATATAATAACGTAAAACGTTATATTGAAATTATTAATAATGTTCACTGAATAGACTGCATAAAGATACATTAATGATACATTTTTCGTTTTTTTTTCTTTGCTTCACACTTCTTTTATTAATTTTAGAAAAAGTAAATGAATTTAATACAATCTTACCGAAAATAATTACGTTCCTTCTTCACTTCGGATTTAACATGTTCCACTGGTACAACTTTTCTCCTCTCTAATTGATTTAATTTTAATTCCTCTACCTACAAATATGATTATATCATAAAATACATTGTGTATTAACGCAATGTTTATCATTGCAAAATCTGTATGATGATGAACATATAGATGAAATAAGTCTCCCAAAAATTAGTTCCATATTTTAGTTTTCAATAATTTCTAATGAAATAAAAGAGCGTTAATTAACGGCT